TAACAATCTTTGAAATGTTGTTAGACGATTTGATGATTGATTTGTTGGTGAAGGTGAAGCTGGAGTTTGCACAGAAGCAACTTTTGTTTCTATTGGAGGTGATAAACTAGGCTCTGTAGATGCCTCTGTTTTATGAGTCCAACGTACATGAGCTCGACGATTGTCCCACTATATAAAAAGAAACATGATATTGATCTATCAATATTCTCAGAATGAATAGTAAATAGATACTTAACCTATAGTGCGACAGCTTGGCATACAAAACATTCACTCATATTTTGGACACTTATAGACAACTAATTAAAATCATACCTTTTCATCCTATTCGAATATTTGCTCAGAATTTTCTTCTCATCTAAGATTGGATGACTATCATCAGATTGTTTCAAAATAGTGGGGTTATACAGAATACTATTCTGTATCTCGATTGAAACCTATCAAACAGGAATAGAATCGGTCTGATATTCATACCGAGATAGGACTGACGAGTTGTCGTACTATTCCATGTGTAGATAGTGGTATTTGACGTAGTTAACTTTCAACAAAGTTTCATTCAACATCCTTTATGAGATAATAAGAGCAATGAAATAAATAAGATAAATCAGTAACCGGTACCGGTTCTATATCTGCTATCGATTTGAAAATGCAAAACATGTTTTAATGGCTCTGTTTTGTAGAGCAACATTTACTTTACAAAGAATGCTATTTACTTCTGCATGACAGTTCAAAGAACTTTTGTATTTCTACTAAGCAGCTTTTGAAACAACAAATGCTGATTTACATGGAAACTAGCTCTTTAATGGAGACATATAGATGAGACTTCGCTTATTGTAATATCTTATTTTGTACAGATTTCATTAAAGTTGTGTTGCAGCTATTCCAAGATACAAACTAAGAACTATGCCAAACCCACTATTTTGCTTTGTACAAAAACAATTTTGGAATCTTCTACAAAATTTACTCATAGTTATTCAATCTTAGCCTAGAAAGAAAATCTGAACATATAGTAGTGAACAAAAGTATCTATCCGAGAGGATCTAAGTCATTAAAGATGCTGAATGACTAAACAATTTTTATGCATATACTTTGTCTAGAATGTAGGTGACAGATACAATGTTACTTCAATTGATTAAGTACAAAGAGGATTATGAGAGGTGGCGTCTGTGTCGCCTTTGAACCTTTTAATGTCCTTGAAATTCTTCAACCATCTCTAGTACTGTAACTGTTGACATAGAGAAAACTCGTCTGGCATCATTTCGAGACAAGAATGTTGGTAGTAATTTAGTGAATGAAGCTCACACTCTTAGAAAAACTACTTCTGCAGTTGAACATTAGCATCTAAAAGTTTCATACAGAAACTGTATACTGATGATAAATAGCAAATCTATGATCATCGTGTTGATGAGGCCGATAATCCAGAGACACTAATATTCGAACGAATGAACTTATCTTTTGTGTAACGAACGACCATAGTCTGAACTCAAATTCCATTGGAAAACCTGATCCATCATAATTCTCTTTGTACTTAAGCAATCAAAACAGAATCGTCTGGCCTAAACTCTTAACCAAGTATGTGCACACAAAAATTTCAGGCCTCCAGCATTTATAATAATTGAGATTCTCTCGAGTGAGGTCTTTAGTTTGCTACTATATATTGGGAAAAAGCGAAAAATTCTAATTCTAACTGTAACCAGTTGTCTTTTAGTTACCGAAAAACGAGCAAATATTTTCGCACTATAGGTTAATATTTAAAGAAAAGAAACATTAAAAAATAAACTCACTGATGTTGATATAATATAATTTTCAAAAGGATGCCAAGCTACATCTCGTACACATTTATCTCTTCCTGCACCATATTGATTATTTCGTATACGAAGGCATCGTTCAATAGCACCGGTAAGAACATTATAGACTATAACAATAAAATATCAATTCAAAACATTGATCTTTCTACATCAGTAAACAAAATTTACTAACTATATATACAACCATCCGCTGATCCAGTAATAATATATCGTTGTCCTGTTGTAAATGATGGTGAAAAATAACAACGTATAAGTGTATAACCAATAGAATGTCCACGATATGTACATACACTTGGATCACCTGATATATCATGTCTTTGAACTTAAAATGATATTATTTAGTTAAATACAAAACAAAATATTTCTCGTTGATTTTTTTTTCTTACGTGTTTGCGGTTGTACACCAGCTCGATAATCCCATACACGATTAATAGCATTTGATACAGTACGACTTTTTTGTATTGTTGAATTATTAGCAAAACGACGCATATCCCATAATTTAATTGTTTGATCTTTACAATTAGATATTAAATATCTCGAATCCATCTAATTATATAATAAAAAAATAAAAAAAAGACCTTTAAATAAATTCTTACTCGACTATGTACAAAAGTAATTCCACTCGTATGACCAGCAAATATACCAACTGGTTTGGGTTGAGATTCATTTAATGCTCGTCTATCCCAAATTAAAACAAGACCATCATCAGAACCACTAACAACTAAAGAATTTGAATTATCAATAAAACCAACAGTATTAACATCATTTTGATGAGCTAAAACCTATTTAAAAAAAAAAAAAAAAATTTTATTAGATTATTTTTGTTTTTTTTTTATTTACACGTAATGTTCGTTTTTGTTTTTGAAGATCAAATATATATACACATGTATCATTAGCACCACAAATTATTTCTGAACCATCAACAGAAAATTGTAAAGAAAATATTGAAAAATCATTTGAACGAGGTTGTAAATATAATGGTACAATATTTGGTTGACATTGATTTTCATCTAATTTTACCAAATAAACTAAATAAAAGAAAAAAAGTTACTTAGATTTTTTTCTCTAGGTTTAATTTAAACTTACTATTATGTGACCATGTTGAATAAGCAACACTACTCCGATCCGGTGATACAGCTGTATCTAATATAGACCAACCAACATCATCAACTTCAATTTCTGCTAGTCGATTAAATGTTCGTGATGATGATGTATCATAAAGACGAATGCAATAATCTAATAAAAAAAAAGAAATAATTTATTTAAAGATTATAATCATTCTCATTTAATAACCTTGACAAGCACTGATAAACCGTTGTCCATCATCAGAAAATTGACCACAAAAAGTTGGTTTTGTCATAGATGCGACTACTTCGCCTTCCTCAGACAATAATCCAAAAAAAGAAACAAACAGAAAGAAAAATGTCAAACATTTACAATATAAATACCTATTCATTAAACGATATCGTGCTTCAGGATATCGACGAAAATTAATTAAACCAATTTCACGCTAATTTTGTTTTTGTAATAAACGAACAATGAATTCATGAATATATTTATTTCGTTTTTTTCTTACTTGTTTTAAAATCGATATGGAATTTTTCGTATCAGAAATTTTTTTTGAATTTGTTTGATGTGAACATTTTATCGGTTGTGCATATGAAGCATGAAGATCTTGTAATGCTTCAATCTAAAGGCAAAAAAACAAAAAAAAAAAATTTTTACAAGAAAAAATGTTTTTTAATCTACTATTTTACTTGGTCCTCATTCTTGTGTTCAATAGGATCTTCATCTTGCTTTGGAAATACTAATGGTTCTAATTCATTAAAAAAAAATTAGTTTCATATTTAAAAAAACGTTTGGTTTTTACCTTCAGAAAACAAAGTAGCAAATATTCGATGCATACTGAAAAATATTTACATGCAACGTTTTTCCATTCGTTCGATATTTTCATGAATGACTACATGCGACATCTACACTAAACTCATGCCTTTAGCCAGTCCTCTCTTATTTTATCATTGAAATATATGATTGGTTTCATAGTTTATCGAAGGTTTTGTTTTCTTATTCGTCTTCTTATACATTCATTTTATTTTCTTCGAGTTTATTTAAAACAAAATAAATTTCTTTTCTTTTTTACATATAGATATACAATCATGAAGCTAAACATTGCTTATCCAGTAACAGGTTGTCAAAAATTAATCGATATCGATGATGATCGTAAACTACGTCCATTCATGGAAAAACGTATTGCTCAAGAAGTTGATGCTAGTTGTTTAGGCAATGAATGGAAAGGTTATACATTACGTATAACAGGTGGAAATGACAAACAAGGTTTTCCAATGATGCAAGGTGTTTTAACAAATCAACGTGTACGTTTATTACTAGACAAACGTCATAAATGTTATCGTCAACGACGAAAAGGTGAACGTAAACGTAAATCAGTACGTGGTTGTATTGTTGATGGAAATTTATCAGTATTAGCATGTGTTGTAACTAAACGTGGTGAACAAGATATTGATGGTTTAACAAATAAAACAATTGCACGACGTCTTGGACCTAAACGTGCAAATCATATTCGTAAATTATTTAATTTAAGCAAAGAAGATGATGTTAGAAAATATGTTGTTAAAAGACCATTAACAAAAGAAGGTAAAAAACCACATGTTAAAGCACCAAAAATTCAACGTTTAATTACACCACGACGTATTCAACGCAAAAGACATATGTTATCATTGAAAAAACGACGAGCTGAAAAACAACGTGTTCTTCAAAATGAGTAAATTAATTTTATTTTTTATTTTATATTTAATTATTGATTTATTTATTTTATATTTAATTATTGATTTATTTATTTTATTAGATATGCTAAATTACTTCAACAATTTGCTAAAGAAAGACGTGAACGTAAACGTAGTGAATCAAAACGTCGCTCATCATCACGATTATCGGAATCAAAAGCCTAAAACAAAAAGAAAAATTTTCTTTAATGACAACTATAAAATTTAAAATAAAAACCAACAAAAGAATTGTTTTAGTTGTCATTTTCTGTCATCATTGTTTGTTTTCTTTTTCTGTTGAATTATATTTCATAACAAATAAATAAACATATGATTAATATGATGACAAAAAGAAAGAACAAATATATTTTTGAGCTTATTTGTTTGTTATTTTAGATTTAGATTAAAGTTAAATATGGTAAGTATGAAGAAAAAATGGAAACAGCTTCTTTCATAATAACTTTTCATGAAATAAGGAATATGACGTGCGTAACAGTTCTATGTGAATTGATTGATTCGATTATTAGCTTTTCATTTTTGATTGATGTGAGTTATTAAGCTATTACATATCTATACGGCATTCATCTTTTTTTTCGCTCGAGGTTTTTCTCCATAACAACAATAGATATAAGGAAAGGAATACAATTATATAATGACGTTATCAAAATCAAATAATTCAAGAAGTTCATAGAGAAAATTTTTGTAGACATTTATATCGTAAACCATACGTATTTATTTAATAATAAAATCTCATTGACTTCATTTATTAATTAGATAGACAAGATAGATTATAAGTCATACTATGAGGAAAATAAAATAAAAATATCTCGGTTTCAGTTCATTAAAGTGAGCTGATTTTTCTTTGGTTATATCACAGAAGTTTATTCGAAGTAAGTTTTTGTCATACGAATAATATAAACAAATATTACTGTTAAGCAATCATGCTGACTTCAACAAAAAAGAAATTTGACCTGTTGTCAAATAAGAAAAATGCATGCGCAGCACTCTCAGATATTTTTTCAGTTGTCATCGAAAAGAATAGATAGAGAAAATCAAAACGAACTTTATGTATGAATGATAATTATTAGACAGACGTATGTGAAGTAAATTTTCAGAATTAGTTAGTTTAAATTCCTACTTGATAATAATGAAACAGGATTGAAGACCTTTAGTCACTAAATCGTCAACCTTCTTGCAAAATAAAAGTATTCCATCTTTAGGAATGTAAAGTTTCTGTTTACTACTCATCGAGTCAGTGGAGTTAGTGCACACTGGAAGACAGTGCTGCAAAAACGGTATTTTTTTGACAGAATTAATGTTTCACTATTGCAGCGAACATGCATATCAGTATAATCAGCGCTTCAGTGAATCCTACGTCGGTAACTCACTGTTAGTATTTCAATATTTACCTCAATGCTGCATGTTCCTATCTATGCCTAAAAATTCAAAATGTTGCAACCGTTAACTTTTAACTCAACCAATTCTAGAACAAGTGAAAGTTAGGTTGGAGCGCCATAAAAACACTTTTGTAGTTGAGAATAGATCAAATTTCTTTAGTAAAGTCAACATTAGTATTTAATACTAGAGTTGAGCAAGCAGGAAGTTTCTCAAGTGCTGTCACAGTTGTATTCAAAGGTAAGTGTAAATTTCAGAGGAAGCTGTTGCCCGTTGTATCTCCATTCAATATGATTCAGTCGTCTACTATTATGTCTCGGCACTAATGCGAAGAGCAGTTAATCTACTTCTCTTAATACAAGAACATTCAGCAAAATTGAAGACTTAAATTCTTCGGAAAAAAATTGCTAGAAAAAATCTTACATACAATAAGAAATCAGTGAAAATGCATGGCATGAATAATTTAGGAAACCTCTGTATTGAGTTTTTCAACTCAAAAAGTCTAGAAAGAGTGCACGTTATGCAGTCATAGGTGTGGTAATCAACGAACAACGTTCAACAAAATAGATACAATATCTATGTGAATATTTCAGCGAAATAAACTAAATTAAAATAATTTAATTTTAGATTTTTAAGCGAAATTTGAGGTTGAACAGACACATTTCAAGCCACCTTTCAGCGCTTAGAACATAATTAAACGAAGCTTTCAGCAATATTTGAATCCCTTAATTATGTTCTAAATATTTATGAGTGACTTAAAATGTGCGCTTACTCCGGGGAAATTTTCACATAGATGGTAACATCGAATTTATTAAACGCTTTTTGCGCATGACTGTCTTCGGTCTTGTATTATCATAGGAGAGAGTCTCTTTTGTTTAAGAACTCGAGCACAAGTACGTACTTGCATTAGCTCAAGTCTATTTAACACGAGTATTTGTTTGCATTATTCGTGCGAAACAAAAGCTTTCAAATAACTGAAGCGGAGATATTTCTATTCTTTTTATCGTAGTGTCATTTATGACTAACGCTATAAAGCAGTCTGCAGAATTAGAAAAGCTTTTTTTGTCATTTTTAGAAAGCCATTGTTCGTACGACTAAAAGCAACTAGGCTTGAATTTTTTTAATAACTTTATTTTTCCATTTTGTTTAAGTTGTTAGCTCTTTACTAAGCAATATACATAATTGACAGTATATTCTCATATTTTAATTCCTAGAAAAGGCTATTAATGAACTCAAACTAGCATTTCTACATTGAAATAAAAAAAAGAATGAGCGTTTCACGTAAGTATATCTTGAACAAAATTATTCAAAAAGTTCTTCAGCTATAATCATCCGTTCTGTTGTCACCAATTTAGATCAGACATGTTTAGAATAAAGCAAACAAATTGCACTAAATATAAAATACTTTTCATTATGTCGAACAGAATGTCAAAATGTTTTTCAGTTTAGTTCGGTTTAAATTTAAGAAAAATATTCCAATCAAGATTTATGTTTTATTATCATTTCATATTATTCATTAAATTTTTTAGCGATTTCGTTTTTGTGGTGGTGAAGATTGTGCTGATTGGATATTGGCAGAAATATTTACATTATCAAAACTAGTAAAATGATCTTTTATGTATTATACTAAATTCTATAAAGTTTCTTTTATTTTTAGAGTTCAGTTAAATTAAAATTATTATGTCAACAAGTAATGCAAGCAATATTAACAGATAATTTAAATGTAAAACTTCGAATTAGATTTTAATTTTCATTATTTGTTGTATTATATTTTCGTCCTATTTTTAGTTAAGTGAAGCACAAAAAGTAGTTGGTGATAAATTTGGTAAGGATATAAAAGTTGCTTTTTTTTGATAATTTATGTGATTATTAAAATTAGAAAGTAGTGATTTAAAGGCATCGATTCGTGCTTTGCAATATATTCTGACTATGTCAGCAAAACATTCCGTTGATGGACAATCATTATTAAATGAACTTACACAACTCGGTCTTCCAAAAGGTTTATAATAATATTGATTTCAATATTTACTTTTTTGTTTATTCGCATTTTTCAGAACATGCTAATGCTTTAGTAAAAATTTACGATGAAAATTTCGAAAAATTAATCGATAAATTACGATCATCTGTTATGCGATGTAAGTTTTTATTTTAATATCTTTCATAATTAATCTATGATGCGAAAGTCTTTGTACGAAAATATTCATCCATTTTTCAGTCACTAAAAGACAATTTTTTTCGCTATATCTAAATAAATGTTCAGATTTTGTAATAAAACTACAAAGGAAAATAGTAGTTTTGGTGAAGCCCTTTGTTTGTGTGTTGAACCAGGTTCAACTTAACATTATTGTAGAGCATTCAATTCTGTAGCATACGAAATAATACGATAAGGGAAATCTCATATTACTCAATATCTCTGCGTTTTCACTAGAGATGTGCGGAATCAAGTCTTTTGATCTCGGTGTTAGTAACGGCGATTGTATGCTTTTCGACCACAGAACGGGATGTGTAGACTTGTCGAGAAAGGCTTCCTCTATATCATAGCATATTCATTAGCAAGTTTTACTGCTAACTGGTGACGTGTTGATAGGTGATGCCACCTTTGCCTCATTCTACCGTAGCTGCGGCGAAAATGACACCACCTATCGACGTATCAACAGCACGCAGTAGAAATTTAATAATCCATACATCATCAGATAGAGGAAGTATTTTCCTACAAGTCTACACATATCCCATTTTGTAGTCAAAATCTTATAGGCGCTTTTGGTCTAGTCTCGATCCGGCCTATAGAAAGCTATTTCGAGATGTATGCGTATCACATGTAAAAGATTTCTTCAATACGTATTTTTTTATTCATTTAGTTGACGATTATCATTTTTTTGAGCCATTTCTCTTGAACTATATTCTGATTGATACGATCTATAATACACTTAAAACCATAGAATATTTCACTACAATCTTTAATTCCGGTAGGACAAATTTTTTTTCTCATGGTCCCACACATTCCTAGTTTCCGCTAAAGAGTTAGTCTCTATGGAAAAATATTGCTGCTTGAAAAGTAAATAGAACGTTTTGTACAGTAAACTTTGCTCTACAAAACTAAGTTATTAAAACCTCATTCACATTTTGAATTTGATAGGTTTTAATCGAAATACATACCCACACCCAAAATAGTATTTTGTACAACCACTATTTTGAAACGATTTGATAACAGTTGCACAGTACTTAGCCTAGGAGGAAATTATAAACACATTCAGAAAGAATGAAAATTCAGATTCTAACCAGTTATCTTTATATGGAATGAGTATTGTCTGCTGTAGGTTATATTAAACTATTATGTTTTTTTTTTCTAGTGACAAAAATGAATGATATTCAATGGAATCTATTTGATATACAAACAACTAATAATTTACATGATATGCATTTACCTGTTGTAACAATGAATTTAAATTATGATGATAATATAGAGAATAAATCAAAATTAATTTCATTTTCAATGAATGCAGAACAATTTGCTGTTTTATTAGCTGGTAAACATTTTTTATTTAAGAAAAAAAGAATTTCTTATTTAATTTATTTAGATTTACAAGCTGCGAGAGATTTAATAAAAACTTATTCAAAATCTTGATCATATCTAATTATGTTTTTTTTTATATTTGATTTTTTTTAAAAGAAGAAATATTAGAAATTATGTGATTGAATATTTTTTGTATTTTTTTTGTTTTTCTTATTCTTGATTGAAAATAGAATGTGCAATAATGTGATTATTTTATTCTTCTACTTATTATTATTAACAGAATCCGGTGAAACATTTCGGTAGGTTAATAATAATAATAATCAATAAAATGAATACTTTTTTTAAATATCTTTCATATTGTTTAAAAGGTTTTTTTCTTCGGACACTGGAACATACAAAGAAGCACGTCCATTTTTTATTTCATCGAAAAATCTTATCAATGATTATTTTGATGGAAATTTGGCACATGTTTTTCAAACAATTAATTCACATACATTTGTTTTTGTTATGTATTATGCACGTACGTATTTTACTCATTAAAAAAAAAAAATTTCTCATAAGAAATAATAAAATTAGTAACAAGACAGTTGTGCGCATTTGTTAGATCATAATCGTTATACGATCTTGGTAACACATTTTTGCGAGTACAGTACTATTTTTGAATAAACTGGAAGATTCAGAGAGATCTTGATTTCTGTGTAGACACAGTATCGTGATTTATTAAAGATGACTATGTATTAACATCTCTTCGTCATCGACTCGAAGCGCTTCTGAGAATGCGCTGACAAATAGAGATAAAATAAAAATACTAAAACATTCAACAGATGCAAAAAGAAAGGAGATAACCCAGCCATAAAGTATTTTGTCAACTGATTTATTAGTAATGTTGATCGATTATATTGAATGACGTACATTCTTCATTGAAACAGGTCGTAATCAATCATAGACTACACTAAAATACAGTATTTAAATCATTCTTGTAACCAATATTCACTTGAGATCGAAGGGGTTCGATTTGACAAGAATGCAGAGGAGAGGGAGAGAAGATTTTTCTTCAAGAGTGTATTNCCCACACCCCCCCCCACACCCACACCCACACCCACACCCACACCCCCACCCCCACACCCACACCCACACCCACACCCACACCCACACACCCACACCCACACCCACACCCACACCCACACCCACACCCTCACACAAACAAAAACGACGAATTTCCTGAAGCTAATCGCCATCATTATCATATACCTAATCCAGAACAAATTTTTCTGTTGCGCCAATGAGAGTCACGATTTTTTTTTCTTGAAATTTTTCATTTATATTCGAACTTGATTTAGGCAACTACTCTATTAGACCTGTCTGTCAAGACCTTTCAGAGGCATTGTATAGCTAATTAATTAATCATTATGGGATCAATAATCAGTTATCAAGTATAACTATTAATTATTTCATTCTTATCTTTAATTGAGTTTTCTATTCTTGAATAATTTTGAGTTTTTATTTTGTTTTAACTTAACGTTTCGAACGATAATACCCTCCTTCTGCAGAAGAAATCAACGAAGTAGAATTTTCTTTTACATATGTATATAATCTCTTTCTTTTTATTTAATAGTAGTACGAACGGACGATGAAAATTCCCCTTTGTCGTACGAGACTATTATCGTGTTGTCCATACCACTATTGAATAAAAAATAGAGACTATGTGTATGTAAAAGAAAATTCTATTTTGTAGATTTCTTCTGAAGAAGGAAGATATTATCGTCCGAGACGTTAAGTTAAAATAAAACAAAAAACTCAAAATTATTCAGAAAGAGACAACTCAATTAAAAATAAAAATGTCAACAACCTTGCTCAATCGAAAATAATTATTTCATTACCAATGAGTTTTGATTAATTATGCATTAATTAGTTATTAGCTAAATAAATAATATAATGTCTGTCACGGCAAGAGAAAGGGCAGACACAAATTTTTTATCCTATACACGTCAACACTCTTTTCAAATCGTGTTTCTGAAAATGAAAAGTAACTGCAATAACTCGATACGTGTCAGTTTATACCCTTATCTATATATTCAAAGTCTTTTTACAAAGCAAAGAAAAACAATCTACCGTTGATCCAACATAGATTTTTCGTCATGGCAATTCTGAAATCTATCTTTTTTATCTCAAAAGATTTTCCATGAAGACAATCTAATACAATGATATTTGATTATATCATTTTTGAACATTTCAATCAAGGTTCTGCACTCACAACAACTGCTATGAGTAATTTAATTCAAAACCTTTTTTCGCCAATTTTATTATTATATAAATTTTTTTAGCTAATAACTATACACAACCTGCAATTGAAACACACAACCACATGGTCAAGTAGTCACGAGTGATACGAACATTAATCAAGGTGAACATGTACATGAGCCTGAAGATGCAGGATTAAAGGCTAATGGAAAGCATGCTATCATCGCATCAAATATGGAAAATGGTAAATAGAATATTTTAAAGTATTTCCTTATAGATAGTTTTGAATAAAACTATTGTAGATGCAATTTTTGAAGCGTTAAACAATAACGAATATGATAGAACAAAAAAGGCCGATTGATAATTTAACATTTTAGTTTAAAATAAAGTATTTCGATATTCATTAATTAAAGTCATCCTCGCCTTCCACCAAAATAAATTACGTACCAGGTACATTCAAATCACCTGGAATTTGAAGAATATATCGGGGCTGTAGTGTAAAGGTTATTGCAAAACTTTTCATCTTTATAGCATAACGTTTGACAGAGATATTCACCAAAGAAGAGTCAAGAATAGCCGATTCAGCAGACGAAATTTCTCCGTTCAGACCCATTCTATATATTTAATTTGTTTTTTGTTAGAAAGAACATGTCAAGATGCAATGTCTACCAGGGCCCTTTTTTTTTAAATTCTTACTTTTTGAGCGGAGAAAAAGAATCACATGTCCAATGATTCAAACAATGGCGTCCTAATAATAAAAATACTCTTTCATATATTAGTAGGAAAGATTAATTAAAAAAGGGCTCTACATCTTGACATGCTCTTTCAAACAAGAAAAAGAATAAAATGTATGGAATGAAAGTTTACTGAGAATTCTTGCTTGCGCGTTCAAGAAAGCATAAATTGAGAAAAAACGAAAAACGTCTTTTTGAAAAAAAAATTTCGATATTTTAGTAGATTCAAAAAGAATAATCACCAACCGTTCTATATTTTTTGAAACTGTATACAAATAAACTATTTTTTTGCCAATCAATCAGTCAATTTCTCGTTACTGTTGAATGCGCTTAAAGTTTTTTTTTTTAGGGAGGAGAGGTGACCTTAAACTTTTTGTTTTTTTTTCTTATTTTATTGAGAAGATAATATAAATAATTCGATTTTGATGAATTTGAAAGATTTTCTATTGACATATGACGATGTTATGTTTGATTAGTTTTTTAAGAAAATATCATAATTTATTTATAATATAAATTTTATTGAATATACTATATTTTTTGTTTAGATCGAAATGCAGATTGCAAAACTTGTGATGATGAACAAAAAGGATTATTAAAAGAAAATTTCTTTTATTTTAATATCAAAATAATTATGACTAGATCAAGTATTACCAACTACTGAACATGTTTGCTATTCTGGTCAAGCTATTAATCAATTAGATGGAACTAATTCAAATATTGAACAATCAGGTAGAACGAATACACGTGAGATACAATTTCATTGATTTAATAAGCAATATTTTTTTTTCTTCTTTTTTTTTCATACAGTTGCATCATCTCGTGAAACATTGAAAATTCAACGCAGTGTTTCTGGTACAAGTGAAGGTGCTGGTGAAACAATGGACGATATTAATAGTAAAACAATTAATCTTCATCAAGAAGTACAAAATTCTATTGATTCGAATATCGAGTCATGTAATAAAGATATTAATCGAAGCAATGGCAATGTAGTTTAGTTCTGTTACTCATTTTAACATATATTTTAATCAAGCAATATATAACTTATTTTTTGTTGAAATTTTCTTGTTCTATGCGTAATTTATTATGTTTCGAATTTAATCAGATGTCGTTTCAATCAAAAAGAACTTTTCTTTTTACTTTGATTCATTTTTTTTCATGGTATTTTAAGCTGTTACTAGAGCACTACCGTACAGACTAGATCAAATTTTCTATCAGTTTGAGTACCTTTTTCAAAATAATTTTTCGCCAACTAATGTTGGATTTTTTTTAAATGTCAAATATCATTATTTTTTGAATAACATTTGATTATTTCAAGTTAACGAAATTGGCCACGTGCCAACAGATACAACAATCTTGGAGATGTCTAATCTCTATGAGATTTATTACTGCCAAAAAGTTTCCTATGAGAAATCTTTAATTGATATATTTTTTATCGTCCATTTTCATGAGTTTTTCATAGAGACCTAAATTCAAAATTATACTAAAATGTAGATCGAAGGATCCTGTATATGTGGCAACATTTTTTGAGCCTTTTTCTGTTATTATCTCAAGTGCAATAATGTTGTAAAATCGTAAGTTTTCGACGTGAATTCTGGACTCTACGGGCTATATTTTGGTCTCATTTCAGTCTACCTCTCTATGAAAACTCATGATAATGGACAACTACAAAAAAAAATCAGTAAGGGATTTCTCATAAAAAAATCTCTTTGATCCTAAAGAAGACGTCTCCAAGGTTATTCTATCGAATAGTGAACAGAAAATTTATATTGAATAAAAGGGTTTTAGCATTTAAAAGCAATCCAACAATAATATCATAGATAGTGTATCCGGTGTTATGTAATCTAGGTGCCACTTTATTTTAAATTATTTCATTTATATTTCTTCAGTACAACCATACATTTCAGTGTAGAATCTGATAGGAAATTTCTTTTAAAAGTCAGATGAGTATTTCTGCTTGTCTGTTGCTTCCACGCTCATCTACAACGATTTATTTATGACTTTGTTTCTTGAAGAATTTTCAATAGCGTCATTTGATAACAAATATGTTTTATTAAAAAAAATATTTCCTTTTTTAAGTAGATGATTGTATAAAAACCAAAAAAGAAACACAAGCATTTTTTACGCATGGTATCTAAAAAACATGAACTTTTGTTCACTTTCCTTTTGCTTTCTTATTGATTAATACGTGGATCTTAGTCGTTTGTTTTTTGTCGTGAAATGTCAATGCAAATTGTCCTTATTGAATTTTTCAAAAAGAATATCATATGTGGAAGTAAACAATATACATACACTTATGAATTCTTTTTGAAAACTTTTATCAATTTCTTTTCACACTGATCAGTAGAAAAAAATAACAAAAAAAAATATTCAAAGTATTTTATTTACATTGAGTTATATGAGTCAGTCCACGTAAGCCGCGACCGATCTATAGAGAACCTACTCAATCGAAGTCGTCAGATCTGGCTCATTTTATGTTATGTTATAGAGGCAAGAGTGCTAAGAATATCGGTGAAAGATTTTTGAAAAAATATTGAACCGTTCATTTTTATGAAGGTTTTACGAAAACCCCTAAAAATACTACTTTCTCCAACAGGGGTCCAAATGTGACTATATCTCGATAATACCTCTATGAATTGAACTCAAATTTTGTATGCAAGCACAACTTAGTGAGTTCTACCTGTGGTAAAATTTTTGTCCCAAAATAAGATGACCCGTAAAATCTTCAAATGAAAATTTCAAAACAATACTATATTAGAAAATCCAATTGATCCTTAAAAAATTTGATGATCAAATATCTTAAGTTGTCTACTATTGTTACTGTCTCTCTATTCTCATACATAAATATATATTAGATGTATGATTTCTGCTTCTTTCCAAAAACTAGTTTTTATACATTTAATACTATGTATGAAAATCTGTTGTACATTTAGATAAATAAAATATAGAAATATAGTAAAAACATTTCATAATAGAATTAATAAAAAGTTTATGGTATAGCGATCAGCTTATGCGTAGTCACCAGGTTTCAGTTCTAAAGAAAGAATATATAATAGACAATATGATTTGGGTATTCTATCCTCAGCTTTTTTTGCTGACGTGCCGAACATATCTTTCTTCCACAGTAGAATTTTTTATCATGTTTGTCCAAACAATTGATTATTTTTAGTCTCAATGTCTGTTACTTTTTTCTTGACTTTGAACATATTTTTTATGGTCTTCAATCAATCTAAACAATCATTGATAAAATTGTGGTCTTTTATGAGAGAGATATTCATTTACCAACGGTAGATCCAACAATTTGCTTTGATATTCTCAATGAATTATCAAACAAAAACTAATACATTCAAAATCTATTCGTTTCTATTCCTGCTGATTACAATACGCAAATACATTTTATTTGTTTATTGTCAATAAATTAATAATTATATGATGTTAGCCACGTCCGCCATCGATAATTGGTGGCATATTGCTTGTGTCAATCACTTTGACGTACCGTCCCATAAACAACGTTGTCTGTTTATATCGAATAGCATAGAGAAATGGTTTATTACATAGAAAATAGACATCCGATCGTGAACTAGTCGCTAACATGATTCGTACAATAGACGTAGCCGCTATCAATAGAGAAGATAAGTAGTTCAAGAAAAACAAGAAATGACCACTAATACTCACCAGCTCGTACACCTTTCTCATCAACAATTACATAAGTTCTAGAATAAGTCAAAATATTCATCAGATTCAATTTGATAAAGGAACCTACTTGTGAATCAAATTGGATAGATATAGGTTTTTCTTCATTGATAGTCCTTTCAAATTGGCTTTGTTCTTGTCAAATATATCGTTTAGATTCATTTTTGTCTTTAATACATTTTCTAGTTTACTTTCGAATTCAAGTTTCCATTTTGGTATCGAAATAAATACATTATGATCAGTAGTAGTTGGTGAATTGAGTAATACTGAATTGAGCTTTGATTCAACTTGAGATAATGTAGTATTTTCATTTGGTAGAATAATAGTAAAGGTAAGATCTTTTTTTTCAAATGGTAAATGAATCATTCGAGCACCAATTTCTGATGTTAAATCAACGTAAGGAAAGAGACCATTTCGCGTCATTAAGGTGAGTTTTTTCTCTTGTGGTGGACCTACATCAGGATAAAATGTGTTGCCATCTCTGGTGTTTTGTCCTTGAAATTCGCGTTGCCATTTTGCTAAAAGAAAAGTCGACTGAGAAAATATTTGAGAAAAAAAAAAAGAAAAAGAACAATGTACCATCAAATAATAGACAATTGATCATCAGAAGAGCATTCATTACGGCAGATGTATTTCTAGCTAGATCATTTTTGTCTAGTGCCTTCTTTATATGACCATTAGTTTGATTAGACACCCATGCATTGATTTCGTTGATAGCAGACGTAACATCTTTTGCATTAAGATCAACGGATACTAGTGTACTGTTATAAAGCTTTTGTAATCGTTTTTTGAAAGCAGGTAGAATCGGAAAACTTTCATCTGGATAGAGTCGATTAGCCAATTTGATTTCAGGTAGACGGCTAATGCTCATCAGCTGCTTAGCTAATGGATTTAATTTATCACGAGATGGAATTTGTAGAAGATTGAGAAGTTCTTTCTCTGTTTTGTCTCGTGCACCTTCAGCAACCATGGCAAGAGCGAGACTGATCGAGTAAGGTGAAAGAAATACATTGTCGTCTGATTTTGCGGCGACCACAGACTTGTACAGATTCAAGTGGAAGTCTTCAATACTTTCCTTTGATTTTGCTGTTGGTTTACTTTCAGCATTTGAGAGTAGCAAAGCAACCACAAGTATAAGACGAGGCATTGGTATAAATGTGTCAAGAAGCATTATGACCACGATGTATACAAAGATCGAGAATCAATGAGAATGTTGATAGTATGCAAGAAGAAAAAGAATGTGTCGTCTACGTTCTCTATCTGTTGATCTAAATATATAATGCCAAGCTGCTATTAACAGTATACTAAGTGAAAGAGAGATGAAGGGTAGTAAGACAGATATATGCCACAGAAAGAAATACGCCAACAAAGAAGAAAATAGTTGATAGATGAAGACGATGTATTTATTATCGGTCCGATGAGTTGCAATGTTGATGCAAAGATACAATTTTCGTGCAAATACAATTTTTAATAAGTAGAAAAATAATAGTTCTGACGCTCGTTATTGATGGTTATCAATGTAGAATCCTTATACGGTTTTCTAAGTCAATTATATTCTTAAACCAGGAAGAAAATTATTGAATAGAAAAATCGTAATTTGATATAAATCGAATATATAATAACAGGAGACTACCTTGTTATTCATTATTATTCAAAAACTAAATGCCTTCGATTGTGTATGAATGAATGAATGCGCTATGTAAGAAATTAATTGAATGCTTTATAGGAACATTCCAATTTCGCTAGGTTCTATTATTACTTTCAACATATGTTCTGATAAGTAAAGAGATTGTACATAAAATACTTTTCCTTGGCTAGTTTTTACAGATCAAGCTAAATTTTTTCATTCTGAGAACCTATGGTTCTGTTTTTAAAGAAATAAAATTGAATGAATCATTACCATTGGGGTACTTTTTTCTTTTTTAAAAACGTTTGTTTTATATTTTTCACGTCTTCTTTTTTTCCTCTATATATATTGCATTATCTAAACTGTATCTTGTTTTATTTATAATGTTACAATCACAAGAATAATGTCGCCATTTATTTTTATATAGTGCTTATTCTGACATTTTGTATACTTGATATATTTTGTTTTGTAATTATGATGATACTTCAACATGTACGAGAAAAAGGATTATTAAGCAGTCATAGTTGCCTGTATGTATTGATTTTTACAGTTGTCCACGTTAACCAAATTACAGAAGATAGTTTTATTTGTAACATAGAAGAACTTTCACAAAAATTTCTAAATCAAATGAAATATATCGAACTACAAAAAGCATATACATCTCTTAACTAAATTTAACAGTTTTAATGAATTTTTGTGAGAAAAAGAGCTAAATGATAATCATAAACAATGAATTCAGATAGAAGATGAAAGAGTCCTGTTGTTGACAAAGTTAAACTTCAAATTTACTTAACACATCACATAAAAACATATTTTAATAATTTTCTATTAAATAAGAAAAAATAAATTCAAATCATAGATAAATTACAAAAACTGATGCCGAAATCATCATAATCTTTGTTTTTGATCATTTGATTTTAACTTATTAATATCGCTCAAGCGTACTGAACTGTGACAAATAAATGCATATTTGATTGATAAATATTTTAGAAAAAAGTTATGCTCATACAAAAGGAAATTTTGGATGAAAGTTTCCTAGCCAAACAAACGATAAGCATCGTTATAACCATTTTAATTTAGCGTAATACAGACGCGTCACATCCTTGGTAAAATTGTTTGTTAATAATGTGAGTAATTCATATGAAACGCAACTTCAGATTGAGATGTATAAGATATGGAAATTGAATCACTATTAATGACTTATGCATTTTGTTTACGATTATTTATTACATATAAGTTTCGAAATTTTTCCACAAACAGATGAAGTGTAAATGTTATCTGTTTTAAGAAAAACACTATAATAACGATGATATTTCTCAAAGATAAGATGACTATTTGATATTGTTCTTGAGACACTTTCTGATGGCATTAGTAAAGTATACTATCAAGAACTCATTCTTAATACAGTAAAACCTCTCTTATTGAACACCTCTATATAATGAACACGTGTCCAAGAATGTATGCATATATGAGTAGGGAAAGAGGAAAAACACAATGCGCATTCTAAAGAAATGCTAGGTCAACTCGTCTGCGGTTTATTCGTCGTAGAAAATAGAACAAAAAAGTCAACAGTCCGCGATACACTGTTCTGAGATAAATTGAGCGTTCATCTGTAAAGCAACGGCGCATTTGTTTATTTACAATAAAGAGATGATGACAAAGCGTACATAAACTTTTTCAGAGAAAACTGCGTAGCTGGGCTTGTAATGCACTCAACTCTGTATCGACACGAAAGGTTCCAAATAGGCGACGATGGAGGATTATTTTCAACAAACATTGCAGAAAAGTCATGCGCTAGATAAAAAATTTGGTGTCGTTTTTGTTTCATCTGCAGTGAACTTCACATGAATTGTGTAGTCATCAAACTAACTCACTGACCATCCTATGCATGCAACAGTTTAATCTATGCAAAGCCTCTGTAAGATGAACACCTGTCATAATGAACATTTTTTGGGAGGTCCCAATGGTGTTCATTTTATAGAAGTTATACTGTATAAATATTCTAAGATACTAAAACAGTTGACAAGTCTAAAAACATCTTAGCCAATCAGTGCAAAACTGCAATTATCGGTCGCATTCTTTGGAAAAGTATCTACATTTTAATACAAATAACGACTAGCAGCTATTTATTATATTCAAATATTTAAGAAAACTTGTCTGACATCAATGTCGTCAATGAAAACACGTTGTGCATCAATATTTACTAGAGGTTGTCTGTAATATATAGTACATGTCGAATAGGAGAAGTTAGACATATCTTAATGATCGTTGAAAATGTGGAGAAGCCAAGCTCTTTAGCTCTTGTTTTGCAACTTTTCAAAAGAACAGTCGATCGATCTTCAATTATCGTTTTATTAAAGTTTTAATATGAACTTATAGAAGAAGTTAATTCGTATGCTTGCACTTGATGAAATGAAAAAAAAACTGGTAAGACGTTCACCATAAGCAAATAGTCAAAATTGTCTGAGAATAAATGAAACTGTTCTGATAAATAAATCAATTATTAGAGATCATCGTTATTCAAATTCTAAATTTCGATATTCTTACTCTACAATAAACGATCCTATATTAGTCTTTATCTATCGAGTTTTCCATAGAGCAATTTGCAGAATTTTCTATTTATTTATCTATACATTTATAATATATAGATCATGAATAAAGTAATGAAATAATAAAAGGTAATTATTTTAATGAAAACTGTAATGAGAATATTTTAGGAATACAGAAAAATTAAAAATAACGCAAATTAATTATATACTGAGATGGCAGAAATGATTATCAATCTTCATCTTGTTTTTTTTTTATGAATGTTTGGTTTTATTTGAACGAAAATCGGTAGTCAACTAGGTCCGATTTGCAAACTTTTAAAACAATCTGGGCACTGTGTCGTTGCGAAAAAAAATAGAATTATTTCCATCTTTCAGAATAAAACTATAGCTCACCGTATGGAAAAGAGTCAAGTTCAAATAAATGTGAGAAAAACAAAGAGTTTATAATTCTGATTGCAACAGTGCTTTCGATATTAAGTAGTTATCATTTTCTTTCTCATTTCTACGTGACTAATTATCGTGAAAATGAAAAGAAAAGAAAATTAAATAGAATATAAACACATTCTATTGTATATGAGCCTTAAAGAGAAAATTAATTAATGAAAGACGATATAAAGGGTGGGTGTGGGTGAAGAGTGGAACAGCACCCACACCCACACCATCTAACTGCATTCGATAGTTTTTATTCGTCCGATCAATTAAATTGTTGTTTTAATGAATTAATTTGAAGTATTAGGTTACATTTCGATTTTCAATATGTTCGTACATCTTTGTTCGATCAATTTTGTTTAAGAATGTTGTTAAATCCAGAACTAAAAAATCAAATTTATTCATTAAACTTATCTGATAAACAAACATATTGTCAAATAAAATTATTTCTTTCATCTTTTTCTTTCAATAATTTTCCTAATCTTCGATCAATGACAGTCAATCAAATTAATTCGAACAGTGTTGACCAATTCAAATCGAAATTATTATCAGTACTACCTCAACTGTATCGTTTCCATTAGCTTCATGATCATCGATATACAATAGATGGAATGCCAATATATTTCCTCAAGGCTCCTGAGCCAGACGACTTAATCGTCAATGAAACTTTGCCACTTACTCATTTAACATTACGAATATGTCATAGTGATGAGTTATATTCATTTTTAGAACACACACCCAAGTTAAAATATTTATATATACAATATATGCTATGGGCGGATACATCTAACCAATATGTTAATCTAACAAAAATAATTATTGATGGATACTATCGTGGATTTTATGAGCTTGAGCCCTTTCTAAAACAAATGATAAATTTAAAAAGTTTAACTCTAAACACATACGAGCCAAGAAGCGTGATTAATGCTGATAGATGGGAACATTTAATAAAATCTTCATTGCCTTACTTGAATGATTTCAATTTCAACTTCAGAGTCAAGCATAACTATATTGATGATGAATGGATGATGATGCCTAATGATTTTCAAAAGTTTCAAACTCATTTTTAGCTCGAACAGCATCATTGGTACACTCAATATGTCTTTAATTTTGATATAGCTTTCATTTATACAATACCTTAAACATTAAATGTATATGAAATGGAGTCAAATGATTCTAAACTTGACAAAAATTTATTACAGAATGTCCACAATTTCAGCAATGTGCTAAATTTAACATTACATATATATATATATGTATACTGGATTATTAAACGTAGCGTGTAAATATTATTTTTCAAATGTTACATCAATAACAATAGTAGCTGAGTACAGGCTCGATAATGACTATATTCAAGTAATAAAACAAATAGAACATTGGAAAAATATTATTAATCTGTCGAATCTAAAACATTTAGATGTAGACTGCCATTCTTTTACGGAAAGTTCATTAATATTCTTAGAAATACTACAAAGTGCCCCTCAATTATCATCAATACGTATTAATTGATATAATTTAGAGTTATTATTGAACGATGATGAATCATATAAATATTTAAATAAACAGGTTAAAAGGCTATATCTTAACAACGAATGTGACGATTTAGTTGATGATTCTTACCAAAGAAAACAATTTTGTGAAATATTTTCAAATCTCGAACATTTAGAATGTTCTGTCAAAGATTCAGACATTTTATTGTTTTTAGTAAATCATTTACCGAGATTATCCACTTTAACAGCAACAACGAACGTTCCCGAAGATTCTAAAAATAATTTTTCTCGATTTGAAATTGTGGCACCAAAACTGAATGTTATTTATCATGTCAGCCGTTTGTGTACTTACGAGTTGGATGAAGACGACATCCTATATGACCAAGCCAAAATAAGTCTTTAGATTGATAAAAAGACGATTTAAATGCAGACTAATAATTTTATTTTATTAAATAAATCTTAAACTATGATCATGCAACAACTCGTGGATGCCGTGCAAACCCGCTTCCTGAGAAGAAAAATCAGCGATTAGAAAAATACATCTTTGTTAAAATATGAAAGAGTGTGGGTTAAGGTGAGTGTAATAATGAATGCAAATACGGTTGATAACAGAAGAATGCTCACATCAAAGCACATATCCAGATACCCAACGACATCTCGCATACAGACACAGAGGCATAGCTCAAGCATGTCCATTCATACCCACACCGGACATATGTTGACCTTTATCCATCGAGAATGTTCATGGATCGTTTGAATTTGATCAAAGTCTAATGGAATCCTATTGAAGGAGCTGATTCAGAGAGAATAGATCCTGGCAATCTCAAATTGGTCAAGTTAAATATCTGGCATACTTGTCTCGTATACATGTTCTTTTAAGATTGATTGTAGAAACAAATGCTTTTTTCTAAATGGAAGACGATGATATGTTACTACTTCATCAGCGTACTTTTTTGCAATTGTTTGCTCAAGTTATCAAAGAGGCCATGAAAATGCACTGATATCAAATTATTATCATTGCATTCTCGAATGAAGCACGCTCAAGAAATTAGATAATAGCAAGCAATATATGTCAGAAGGAGAGAGCGCATTATTTTATCTCATTGCATTTCGAAGAGCCGTTATACAACACTGTTGAAAATATCAAGTAACCTTCACAAGCATATACAACTCTACAAACATACAGTGCTAAATGAGTATAGTTGTAGGGATTGAATCAAACATTGTGGATGGTGCTGAACCGAAGATAATCGAGTCAATAGACGAGTTGAATGAAATTGAACCGACAACCGAAGAGCTCTCAAAATTGGAACATATTTCTGATCGGATACCATTATCAGTCTGGCTAATTGTCATTTGCGAATTGTGTGAACGTTTCTCTTTCTATGGAATCTCTGGTCTCTTTCAAAATTACATTCAGTTTCCGTTGCCTACTGCAAATGATACACAACCCGGTGCTCTCGATCGTGGACAGCAGACTGCCACTGCATTGACAATGTTTTTTCGATTTTTTGCTTATATTACGCCGATCGTTGGTGCTATACTAGCCGATCAGTTTTGGGGCAAATACAAGGCTATTATTGTTTCATGTGTGGTCTATATGGCTGGTCTTATTATACTTCTTCTTACCAGTATACCACCATCTATTGATAAAGGTGTTGCCTTTCCTGGTCTAATCATAGCAATGGTTATATTGGGTTTTGGTACCGGTGGTGTAAAGAGTAATGTGAGTCCATTGATGGCTGAACAATATTCTAGGACAAAACCAATTATCACAGGTAACTGAAAGGTTTTTTCAAAAGAAATATTCCTTTTCTTTTTTTTTTATAGTAATCAAAGGCAAAAGGAAAATAATTAATCCAAGCGTGTGAATTGATTAAACACTTATCAGTTTATTTCTTTGACTACATTTTTCATATTTTAGAACGATGCAATCGATGTTCAATTGGTTCTATTGGGCGATTAATATTGGCTCACTATCATTGATTGCTACTACAAACATCGAAAAGTATCATTCATTTTGGCTTGCGTATCTTCTACCCACAGTCGCATTCATTGCTGCCATCGTCGTCTTGATAATTGGTCGCAATCAATACATTCAAAAACCACCATCTGGTTCATTGATCATCCGCGCTGCTCGAGTAACAATGACCGCCATTCGAATGCGACGGAAATTGGGTAAACAACCCGATCGTCCAGATTTTTTGGATTACGCCAAAGACATGTCGTCGGAGAGCGATATTAATGAGCAAGAGACGGATTCCAAATTAAGCAACAATGAGTTTATTGATGATCTTAAAAAAGCAGTGCGTGCTTGTCGTGTTTTTGCTTTCTATCCGTTCTATTGGATCTGCTACAATCAGTTTGGAACCAATTTAGTATCTCAAGCTGCGCAAATGAATGTTGGTGAGTTCATGATTCCTTTTAAAATAATCAAGACAAATAGGACACTGTCCAATCTTTGATTTTCTTCAGGTCCTCTGCCTAATGATATTTTACAAAATATCGATCCGCTTGTTATTATTGTTTTCATTCCGATCTTTGACAAATTGATCTATCCTGGCTTGAGACGATGTAAAATCAATTTTCCAGCTATTTCTCGTATTGCTGTTGGCTTCTTCTGTGTTTCCCTTGGCATGGCGTGGTCAGCAATCGTTCAATATCTAATCTACATTACTGAGCCGAACCTCGATTATGAGCTCAAACCCTGCAAAGAATGTCAACAACATAACAACATTACTGTAGCTTGGCAAATTCCAGCGTACTTTTTCATTGCCATCTCCGAAATCTTCGCTTCTGTTACTGGTCTCGAGTACGCGTTTACAGAGGCACCAAAGTCGATGAAATCCATCATAATGTCACTTTTTCTATTCACATCGGCTATCGGCAGTATCCTGAATATTGCACTTGTACCAGTGTCAGATAATCCAAAACTACTGTGGATGTATGCAGCGTTGGCAATTCAGGCATTCGTCTTCGGTGTTCTATTTTACTTTGTTTTTCGAAACGATCAAAAAGTACACGTAGAACAAGAACCAGTCACAAAATAATTTATATCCCTCTTTTTCTTAGTATCTAGTTTCCTAGTATTGGGTGTGGGCGTTGGTCTGAATTGATCATAGACACCCAGACCCTAACTGTCAGGAGAAAATCCTTCGTTTGGTTTTTCTGTGACAGTATACTGTTATAGTCTATAATTAATATATAATAAATTTCTTACTTTTCTCTGGCTGCTTACATTGGAATGTTTTCAAAATAGTAATATCATTATCTAGAAAACTTTGAACTAGATCAATCTATCAACTCATGAATAAAATTAGTCCAAAAGGCTTAGTTTCGTTGAGAAATCCTATCTGAAAAGATGCTATTTGAGCTACGGAAAAAGAGCAACAAGGAGAACAAACAATATTTTTTAAAGCTCTATTCAAAATGGCTCCTTCAGTCTTTGTTTTCTCTTTTCGACGGATGACGATAATCTTTTTCTTTTTCTGACGAAGTTCTTCAAATCTTCTATAGTAACGAAACAATCGGTCACAAAAAAACACGCAAATACAAGTAGAGAGAAAAAAGAGCGACGAATTTCGTCTGTTTGTGTTCGTTTTTTCGTGACACGACATTTCTGCGCAGCGACATTTCCGTACCCGACACCACAGCACAAAATGAAGTTTCGTGTTTTTTCTGCTATAGATTAGTGTATCTTTTAAGCTTTTCTTAATAGATCTGTGAGTCTGGGCTCCGGCGCGAAGTGTGTGTGAATGCGGGGTATGTGTATGAAAATTCGGTAAAAATTCGAAACTGACGAACTGCTTGTAAGAGTGATCTGATCTGATCTTTTTTGACCGTTCAGCTCAGATGAAATGAACTGTTCAAAGAGTTCCTCCGACCTTAGGTCGACTGCTCAAGCAGTTCTGCTCAGATCGACACCATATGGAGGAAGTCATCTGATAGATCTCACCCGTTTCGAAAGGTAGAGTGTTTTTTTAATGGAAAACTAAAATGCTGAAACTGACATCTGGGATGCTAGAGGCATCATCTGAACTGCTAGATAATCACATGAGTTGCTGGTGATATTACCTGAAATGCTAGAAGCATTACTAAGATGCTGGAAGCCTCACTAGGGTTACTATAGACATAACCTCAGATACCACAGGTTTCACTTGGATTGTTTGTAGCGTCGTAAGTAATGTCCCTTTCTTTCCATGTGACGCTTCTAGCAGCACATGCAATATGACCAGCATCCCAGATTATGCGCTTTGCAGTCTAGGTGATAGCTCTAGTATCCTAGTGAAGCTTGCATCATCCAAGGTAATATTTCTATGAACTCAGACGATGCCTCTAGCATTCGAGATATCAGTGCGGCTGTGGATATGGAGTCAGACTGTGAAGTAGGGTGTGGCTTGGCGTGGGTGTGCGCTCATATGTAGATCTGTGATTCGGATGTGTTTGTTGACATTAGGATCCCAGTTTCGTTCGTTCCATTCCAACACTCACACTGAAGCTCTGCAGCCGAACCAGCAGAACAGTGAATAAAATTTTAGAAGATGTATTAACTTAACACAGAAAAAACAGAAAACTTCATTTTGCTCGAAAATGTTGTATAACCCGTTTATGATCTCATTTCGAACATACGTAAGTATTCTTAATCATTTAGTCATTTTTGTTCTATCGAAACTACCACCAACGTTATGATGGATAAGCAACATAAAAAATCAACAGGGTGTGGCTGTCTGTGTCTTCGTTCACTTCAGACCAACATCCATACACCCACCAGAATTTCAACTTTTTGGCTTGAAATATCAATAAAGTTAAATGGGGTAGAGAAACTTTTTGCGAGCATTATAGTTCTTGTCTTGAGCTCGCAAGGGGTTTTGAAATGATGGAGTAGATGTCTGTAAGGGATATAATTGGGGAACGGAAAGTTTCAGAAATAAATCTACACTTACTATTTTCATACTTAATTATGCAAAAGATAGATCCTCAGTGTTGAAACTTTATATTTGATTCTATAATAAGACGATCAATAATTCAGTAATCAGTGGAAATATGTCCCTCAATCAATAGTCGATGATATAGCAGCCGATACTATAACAATTCGTCGCAACCAAAGACTAAAATGAGTAAAAAAAAAAACTTCGACTCCACTTGGTTTCGATGTCTGGTCGCGATAGTGTAGTCTAATTGCTAATTCGAAAACCACTTTTCATTACCTTATCGATTACTCTATTTGCGACAGAGAATTCTTGATGAATGTTGAAGTATGTTATGAGAAATATTGACCTAATGAAGAGTCGAGTGAGATTCGGAGCAAAGTATTTTGAGAGGTCAAAATCAGGATTGAGACCGAAACTAAGACAAACTAGTTAAAGAGAATAAAAATTCAGTTAAATAGTCTTGTAAGTAAAGTACAGCATTCGGTGACTGATCCTTTAGTCGTAAGGCGATCAGCTCTGAGCATTTCATCGTGACTATTTTGTTGCAGACAATTGGTCGCATTGCATATTGGTGCACATAAGTATTCAGTAGTCACATCAGACAAACAATCTGTAACTATAGTTGACTTCCAAAAATATACAGTGAAGAAACGAAACGTGAATCAAGTAATAAATTTAGAACATGCCATATAAGAGTCAACAATGGTTAGATTTCGAAAAAATGAAAATTGAGACATTTGTTCTTCCAAGTGCGGGTGTACCTAATCAAAAGAATAATGCAAAATGGCCATTAAAATGCATATCGATTCATTATTAAATCATTATGACCATTTTATGATCACGAAGTCTATTTTTTCGGAATCTCGAATTGGTTGAAATACGTTAATAATTTCTAAAAATTATATGATTTTTTGGACTTTGTTTATCAACCGTTCATATGTTCTATAACATTCAAGAATATAGTTCGAAACTCACACTAAAAGTCAATAGGAATTCCCGATCCTGATGAAGTCAAACATAGAAGTAGTCAAAAATAGTTGTTTTTTTCATAGTTTTTAAGAATGAATTGTAAAGTCTCGAATTAGGAAGAATCGTACTCTTCATAACATCGCTGAATTTAAAATGTTTTCGTTAGAGATAGAATGCTCGTAGTTAAAAATAGCATCCTCTTTTTCTAAAGACAATGAATCTTATTTTTGTTCATCAAATGCACGGTACATCATGGGCAACTGGTCTAGCACTATTTTTTCTGACTCGTAAAGAACCAAAACGCTTCTAAAGCATTGAGGTAAATGAAGTCACCAAAGGTATAGTGTAAAAGATTAAGAATTTATATCTTCTCCATATTTGAATAAAATCAGAATTTCGATCATATTCTAAAACCGCACGTAAATAAAATGAGACTTCTAATTTGAATGAAGCTGAATTGTTAGTTTGAAAACAAAATTGTAATTCATCTATACGAAACACATTACAAGGGATAAAATGAAAAGTTATTGCTTCCGATTCAAATCAAGTCATGATCACTATTATTCTTCTTATTGAATTTATTTGTTAAGTTAAAATAGTCAGAAAAATCAGAATAGACATAGTTAATTTTTATTTGACAACACCTTTGTGACGAAACAAAATATTCAATCCATGGCGTATTAGTCTGACAATTTATAAATATTTATACAAAATTCTTTTTCTCTAATGATACTTTGTTAATGAACCACTCTCAATGTTTTACATGAATACTCTTGATAATAACAAACGCTTGAGAATATCTTTGAAAACCTGTTGGCATGATTGGCTTTTTCCCTAATTTTTTTACTAAGAGTTTATCTTACTCTGGTTCCTTCTAAAAGTGCATTTCTATATTGACTACTTAGATAATTGCTTTACACTGTGACGTTATTTTTCAGAATAGTATAACACAGCTTTGTACAATGTTAATTGATACAATCAGCTATGAATAACGTATGGTGTCCTCATTTTCTAGGCCGCTTTCTTTTTAAATAGAAAATTTATTTGTTGTTTATCATAGTCGCGTTTACTTTTCCATATTTGCAGAAATATCTATGCTAAAACTACGTAGGGGTACCCAAAGGTAGTGACGGATGTACCTTATTTTTTTATAGAAGGCTTGAGAAAATTTTCTTTTTTTATGGGTTGATACAGAAAACGACGCTCTATTTTTCTATGCTATTTGATCATTCTTCAACTAATAACATAATAATAAAATTTCGATAGAAACTGTTTTTGTAGAAAACTTAACTATCGGTTGAAACAGATTAAATGGCTACGTTTTGCATTTCAGTTTTCAATCACTTAACACGTTGTATCAAAAAATAAAATATACCACAATATGCAGCGTGAAAAGCTCTACAATTTACATACGACCGCTTGTTTTATAACTGAAAGAAGAAAAAAAAGGAATTTTTCTGAATACAGAAAAAAATTGTTTTTTGTAGATTGTAGAGCTTTTCATGCTGCATCTTGTGATGTAATTTGTTTTTTTCAAAAAAAAAAAGATATTAGGTCATAAAAGA